ATCCCGCGAGCTTCACGGCGGAGCCGGATGTTTATGTCCCCAAAACTTAAATCGATGGCTTTAGGGAAAGAATATCGGCGCCATGAAGGCAACACACCTGTGCAAGATGTAGACAGGCTGAGTGGTCTAGTGGTATGATTCTCGCTTAGGGTGCGAGAGGTCCCGGGATCGATCCCCGGCTCAGCCCGATTTTTGTCCCCACTTAAATCGATGCTTCAGGGAAGATATCGCGCATAAGGACACCTGTGCAAATGTAGACAGGCTGAGTGGTCTAGTGGTATGATTCTCGCTTAGGGTGCGAGAGGTCCCGGGATCGATCCCCGGCTCAGCCCGAATTTTGTCCCCACTTAAATCGATGCTTCAGGGAAGATATCGCGCATAAGGACACCTGTGCAAATGTAGACAGGCTGAGTGGTCTAGTGGTGATTAATCGCTAGGTGCGAGAGGTCCCGGGATCGATCCCGCACAGCACGAATTTTGTCCCCACTTAAATCGATGCTTCAGGGAAGATATCGCGCATAAGGACACCTGTGCAGAAGTGTTAGACAGGCTGAGTCGGTCAGAAATTATGATTCTCGCTTAGGGTGTGGATAGAGGTCCCGGGATCGATCCCCGCTTCCAGCCGCGATTTTGTCCCACTTAAACGATGCTTTCAGGGAAGATATCGCGCATAAGGACACCTGTGCAAATGTAGACAGGCTGAGTGGTCTAGTGGTATGATTCTCGCTTAGGGTGCGAGAGGTCCCGGGATCGATCCCCGGCTCAGCCCGATTTTGTCCCCCCTTAAATTCGAGTCTTCAGAGGAAGATATCGCGCATAAGGACACCTGTGCAAATGTAGACAGGCTGAGTGGTCTAGTGGTATGATTCTCGCTTAGGGTGCGAGAGGTCCCGGGATCGATCCCCGGCTCAGCCCGAATTTTGTCCCCACTTAAATCGATGCTTCAGGGAAGATATCGCGCATAAGGACACCTGTGCAAATGTAGACAGGCTGAGTGGTCTAGTGGTATGATTCTCGCTTAGGGTGCGAGAGGTCCCGGGATCGATCCCCGGCTCAGCCCGATTTTTGTCCCCACTTAAATCGATGCTTCAGGGAAGATATCGCGCATAAGGACACCTGTGCAAATGTAGACAGGCTGAGTGGTCTAGTGGTATGATTCTCGCTTAGGGTGCGAGAGGTCCCGGGATCGATCCCCGGCTCAGCCCGATTTTTGTCCCCACTTAAATCGATGCTTCAGGGAAGATAAGATATCGCGCCTAAGGACACCTGTCGCAAAATGTAGACAGGCTGAGTGGTTCACTAGGGTAATATGATTCTCGGATTAAGTCAGGTGGCGAGAGGGTCCCGGGACGATCCCCGGTCTCAGCCCGAATTTTTGTTCCGCCGAGACTTAAAATCGAAGTGCTTTGGCGACAGACGCATATCGCGACAATGCAAGGACACTGTGCAACATGTACACAAGGCCTTTGAAGTGGTCTAGGTGGTAAACGATTCCGCTTAGGGTGCGAGAGTCCCGTGATCGATCCCGTCATGCTACAGCCCGAATTTTGTCGCCCACTATAAATCGGATGCTTAGGGAAGATATGCGCAAAGGACAGCCTGTGCAGATGTAGCAGACAGGCTGAGTGGTCTAGTGGTATGATTCTCGCTTAGGGTGCGAGAGGTCCCGGGATCGATCCCCGGCTCAGCCCGAATTTTGTCCCCACTTAAATCGATGCTTCAGGGAAGATATCGCGCATAAGGACACCTGTGCAAATGTAGACAGGCTGAGTGGTCTAGTGGTATGATTCTCGCTTACGTGGCCGTGCGAGAGGTCCCGGGAATCGATCCCCGCTCAGCGACCCGATATTATTTGTATCCCCACTTAAATCGAATGGCTTTCTCAGGGAGAGAAGTATCGAGCGCATAAGGCACAAACATGGTGCAAGATGGATAGAGGCAGCGCTGAGTGGTCTAGCTGGTAATGATCAGCTCCGGACTTAGGGTGCGGAGAGGCCCATGCGCGCGAGGAATCGCGATCGCCCGCCTGCAGGCCCGCGGGCATTTTTGTCCGCCAACTAATACGATGCTACAGGGAAGATATCGCGCCTAAGGACACCTGTGCAAATGTAGACAGGCTGAGTGGTCTAGTGGTATGATTCTCGCTTAGGGTGCGAGAGGTCCCGGGATCGATCCCCGGCTCAGCCCGAAATTTTGTCCCCACTTAAATCGATGCTTCAGGGAAGATATCGCGCATAAGGACACCTGTGCAAATGTAGACAGGCTGAGTGGTCTAGTGGTATGATTCTCGCTTAGGGTGCGAGAGGTCCCGGGATCGATCCCCGGCTCAGCCCGATTTTGTCCCCACTTAAATCGATGCTTCAGGGAAGATATCGCGCATAAGGACACCTGTGCAAATGTAGACAGGCTGAGTGGTCTAGTGGTATGATTCTCGCTTAGGGTGCGAGAGGTCCCGGGATCGATCCCCGGCTCAGCCCGATTTTTGTTCCCACTTAAATCGATGCTTCAGGGAAGATATCGCGCATAAGGACACCTGTGCAAATGTAGACAGGCTGAGTGGTCTAGTGGTATGATTCTCGCTTAGGGTGCGAGAGGTCCCGGGATCGATCCCCGGCTCAGCCCGATTTTTGTCCCCACTTAAATCGATGCTTCAGGGAAGATATCGCGCATAAGGACACCTGTGCAAATGTAGACAGGCTGAGTGGTCTAGTGGTATGATTCTCGCTTAGGGTGCGAGAGGTCCCGGGATCGATCCCCGGCTCAGCCCGAATTTTGTCCCCACTTAAATCGATGCTTCAGGGAAGATATCTTTACGGCATAGGACACCCTGTGCAATGTAAGACAGGCTGATTGTCGAGTGGTCTAGTGGTATGATTCTCGCTTAGGGTGCGAGAGGTCCCGGGATCGATCCCCGGCTCAGCCCGAATTTTTGTCCCCACTTAAATCGATGCTTCAGGGAAGATATCGCGCATAAGGACACCTGTGCAAATGTAGACAGGCTGAGTGGTCTAGTCTGGTATGATTCTTGAGGGTGGCGAGAGGTCCCGGGATCGATCCCCGGCTCAGCCCGAATTTTTGTCCCCACTTAAATCGATGCTTCAGGGAAGATATCGCGCATAAGGACACCTGTGCAAATGTAGACAGGCTGAGTGGTCTAGTGGTATGATTCTCGCTTAGGGTGCGAGAGGTCCCGGGATCGATCCCCGGCTCAGCCCGAATTTTGTCCTCGCTTAAATCGGTGCTTTGGTTAAAGTGTAACGACGTGTGGACAGGGTGAGGGACATTCGCGCAAGTACGGCATCGGAGAGGTCGTTGCCCTTCCTTGCCTCAGAGACCCTCGCAAACTTAAGAGGCGTTAAGAAGGAGGTCACCATATTCATAACGCGGGTGACAGCATCAGCTAGCTCTTGATTCCAAGATATGATATAGGGTATGGGCCAAGAACATTATTGGTGGGTGACAAGAACTGTAAGCTGCTGATAAGATTCGATAAGGGGCGTTAGAAAGGTGAGGTCATCGTATTCACAGCGCAGGTCACAGCATCAGCGAGGCGTAGGTTTCAGCAAGTGATAAGAGGGTGAGATATCAACCGTGGGTGACTGGAGACGATAACTACTGATAGGGGCTGATAAGGGAAGGCTGTTCAAGAGAAATCACGCTACCAATCATGAAGATTTCGTGGTGAGGACCTTGATCGTGGGTGACAGGTAATCTTATCAATCGATAAAAAGGATAAGATACCATCTGCGCTACATTTTTATCACTTCTTACCGCTTTAATGCCGAGTATTAGAGGCTCAGTGTGTGAACTCTTTCCTTTAGCCATCACTTTCCTGATAACACTAGGAAATGAACTCATCCCACTATCCTACTAAATATAATGTTGATGTTGACGAGCGGGGGAGGGGGGCTTCATGGTGCGGCTGAAACGGGAAATAATGGCAAATTTGCCTGCTAAGTGATTGTTATGGATAGCGGTCGTACACTGAACAATATAAGAGGCGAACCGCATCAGCTGCTAGTGAGGTCTCTCGGTGATAACATTCGGGCTCTCCGCGCAACACGCACTTTGACATAAACAAGCAATGTAAAGGTCTTCTCTTCAGTGCCGCCGTGACCCGCAATTGTGGCTCTCCCAGGTGTTGAAGACTCATCCGGACTAATTCAACTTCACCCATTCTGATGTCGCAACTGCGTTCCTTAATGACATGGTGCAGCCTTCTCACGGTTTAATGTCTGCAGGTAAGCAAGGGGCAGATTTTGGTATAATATGATTGATATTCGAGCTTTTTTTCCACCATCTGCTGCTAACATTTTAATAAAAAAATCGCTGCTACCATTTGGCTTATTTGGTGCACTCTATCTCCAAGGAGGAGTGCCTGGCGAACCCAGGATCGGCCCGGCGAAGCTGGGCCGTGAAACAGAAGGAGGAGCACCCTGCGGCAGCCGGATGATCCGACTGGTTTTTCATAATTCATTTGTCATCTTGAATGTTGTGATGTGACATGAGGTACTCGTAGATCGGCCCGTCACGATGGCCTGTCACCTGCCGTTCGATGTGTCCGCTTTCAGCGTTTACTTAGTTCAATAAAAGAGGCAGTTTCCGTGTACTAACGATTAGGAATTAATCTTAAACATCTAACCAGCAAGCAATAAATCATCGATTCCTGTAGAAAAAATGGGAGGGCGAAGAGGCGCCGAAGTATTCAAGAATTTGTCGAAGGTTACAGAGAAAAGACTCAAAGGTTTTTGACATCCCTGGAAATAGACATGAGTAGCCTGTGCGGGTCAGGACTTCAGCCAGCTTGACAGGATTCCCCTAATGCCCACCCTCTTTCTACTTTGCACCCTCCCTTCTACTTTCCCCTCTGCCAACTTTCTGACGAATCTCATAGATTTTCCTTACAATTAGCCTGATGTTGCTTGAGTCAATAAAAGTTAGTCTACTCTGAACGCTAACACATAGACATAGATACATTGCTTTAATAAAGATGAGAACGATTACGGAGACTGAAATATTTTCTCTGTTCATTTTAACATTACTAGTGAGATCTGTAGTCTGGAAATATACTGTACAACGTCGCGTTGAGTACCGCTCTGAAGAGAACTATTGTGCCAATAAATATGGCAATATTCACCATCATCAAAACGTAGCGGGAGACCCGATCCTAGAAAAGGATTACAATCCCCCACTGAGAGAAATCTCTGCAAAAAGTGCTGTAAAATAAAAAAAATGATGCGCATAAGCTATAAAGTACCGTGATATTTTTGGCTTTGTCGCGCCTGTTGCGTCGTAGAAATGACTGGGCGTCACGCCTTTAGTTTTGCCTTCAATGGGACCACCGCCCCCTGAAGACGATGGTTTGGCATTACATTGCTTCGAGTGGAATGAACACAGATTGTCATACCTCACCTTCAGAGGCCGAAGTGGGTTGTTGATAAGGAACAAGCAACGTCTAAAGCATGCTTTACCCACTGGTGGCTTATCCATCGATCGCAAGATTGTGAGCAATTGGATGCAAATGAGAAAGTTTGTAGGCACGAGGTTGGCTTACAGAAATTAGTAGACAGAGCCGTTAAACGTCTGAGTGGTTTTGGCGCCAACCTTGAAACCCGCGAAATGAAGGGTTTTTTAGCGGTCTGTTCGTGAATAGAGACGCAGGGAACGCTCATTATTTCAGAGAGACCGGATATCGCCCAGAAAAACAACAAACGTGAAACATCGCGCCAATAATACTTTGGCTCACGGTCCACTAACAATTATAGACTTCTCAGTGCGTGTTTGTGTCGTCTCAGTATCAGCGTGATATTTGATATGATACCCGGAGCTGTAAGGGTATCGAGAAAGGGAACATCAGATAGAGAGGATTCCATGGTTGGGGAAAAGTTGTCAACCCAGTTTCATAGCATGGGTGACAGGAGCAGCGGAATGTGAATCCTAAGAACAGTTCCAGGATTTAGGGAGTGTTGGAACACTATCTGTTGGTAACAGGTACCGATAGGTAGTGTCAAAAGCGGAGGATTCATGGTTGGGGAAAAAGTTATGGCAAATGAGGAAACCTGATGCGGGCAATAAATGTCATCAAACCTATGGGTATGGGCAGCAGCATCGCTATGTCCACAAGAACAGACGTTGGATTTGGTATTGGGAGATCGATTGTTGGTGACAGAAAGTTATATAACGCTAGATGAAGGCTGATGATAATACGTGAAAAAGGGCAACTTCGTTCGCCTCCCACATGCAAGCGCAAAAGCCTTGACTACACTCACATTGCCTGGCTGATCATTCATGGTTAGCTTCAAGAAACCACTCACTTCAATCTCAATAGCAAAGTTTTCTGGGTCTTTTGTCGGCTCATACGCTATTTCTTCAGCTTTTTGTCCTGTATTCAAACGATCATCGCGGTCACTGCTCGCTGGACCAGTCTCATTCGGACTCAGTGTAGGTACTATATCTGTCAGTAAATTCCCTGTTTCTATGTAATCCTCGTCCGTAGTGCCACTGGGGGTTTCCTTCTGAATTAGCGATGTCGTTACTATCACTAGACTACATAGAGGGTAAATCAGGGCACATCATTGATTTTATTCGAGTCCGTACCCCCCGTTTTGGGGGTTGGTATGACCCCCCCCCTCCGACCCTCTGGCCCTCCTCATCGCGAACGGAGGGGGGGGAGGGTAAACAGCACATGTGAAACGGAAAAGGAAGAGCCGCGAGCCCCCCACTACCAATTTTCAGATTTTCCCAAACTTCCTGCCACTTTTTCCGAAATTTCTCGAAAAATTTCCCTACTTTTCCCAAAGTTTATAGTACGCATGAAACAGGAAAATCACGAAAAGTCAACCACCACTCCCACCACTCCTAGAAAGGCCAGAAAGTAAATACGACCCCCTCCCTTTACAACGTCCATGAAGCGAGAAAAATCAACTATCAAAATAAATTTTTCTCAGCCCAAATACGACCCCTCCTGGCAGCCAATACGACCCCCCTGTTGGGGATTCCCCAACAACGATGTGCCCTAGGGTAAACGAGCTTCTCAAAAGCTTGAACCACATCTGTTTTCGCAGTTGTCTCCATTGCAGTTGTTGGCACTGATGTTGTTGTTTGAAAGCATTCCTGGAGGGCATTGCGGATGCTGTCCTAAAATAACAGTCTCGGTTATACCTTTGGACTGCTTTT